TTTTTCATAAGCAATTTAAAGACATTTGTATTTAATTAGGCTAGAAAGATGAACAATCACACATAAAGGGAGAGTAAGAACAGCAAAGGAAAATGAATGAAAAATTTAGTTGAATTTCAAAATCAAACCAACTGGGTTCCTTAACATAAGGAATACTGTTACTGCAGAGAAGTGATCAGTGCTTGGGATGAGATGGAGGGATTCTCTTTCAATTCATTGGTCTTCAATTCATTCAATTCATTGGGGTTTTGTTTTTTTCTTCATTTCTCTTTTGTTTTAATACTTATATTTTATCAGTTGCTGTGTTTGAAGACACTGACACCAATTAAACAGGGAAAAAATCGGCCATATAATATAGAAAAGTGTGTTACTTTGCAATTAAGCAAAGTAATTCTCTATTTCTATTCCAACACATCCCATCTTTTGGGTTATATAAGATAGGGCTATTTTTTAAATAAATAAAGTCTAGATAAAAGAAGCAAGAATCTTTCACACAGGTTATGACACATGGACAAAGATTTGCAATCTTATTTTTCTGTTACTGTATCTTTTATTAGCAGGATTATTCATTTATGGGATCTTTACATTCTAGCACTAAAGCATAGGCACTGGCTAGTTGTAGAGTGTGTGAAGGTCTCATTTGCTCAGCCAAATGTTTCTTTTTTCAACCTGACATAATTTGCTACCTGAAGGAAAACTACCTATCAGTTGGCTGACTCCGGTGTTTGAGCCAATAATAAATCAATTCTGATGACTGCCAAAATGTCTCAGTAGGTCAGTTGTTGTGCAAAAACCTAGCTATGGCATTTCTCTATTAGATGGGTGAAACTAATTCCAAAGATTGTTGGCCTAGATTAAAAAGTAACAATTGTCCTTCCTGCAAGATATATCTTGCTGACAGCTGAATTGGATTTGGCTCATGCTGTGGGGTTTTTTTTTGTTTTTTTTTTCAGCTTGTTGGATTCTGACCTTAAGATTAGATTCCAATAAATACCAATGTATGAAAATATCATATGAATTTCTTGTATTTAAATGGTAGCAGCTCTACTTGAGGGACTTATGCTTCATTTATTATAATAGTTCCTTCTGTCTTACTCTCCCTTTTGAGAAGCAAAAGCTGGACCCAAAGCTCTTTCACCAGATTAAAAGTAAAGGCTGCCCTGAACAAATATTTCCAATTACAGTTGGCTGGGTCATTATTGCATTTTTGTTTTTAAATATTGAACTTTAATTATTTATTTTTAATTTATAATTATAACCAAGGGACTACAAAAGTATTTTATTTTTTTTAGGTAAGCTAGGAATGCTCAATTAGTGAGGAAAAGAACATGATTTAGATTGAGAACAAATGACGGTGGTGATGTTGTCAAGTGATTTACTATTTAACAATCTGACTCACCCAAGTCTCCGTCAGTTGCAAAGGAAAACATATAGGTACAATTTTGGTGAGATGGATCTCTTCTTCCATATTGCTACCAAATCCAACCCGCCCCACAGCATCATGAAAGCAGCATTTCAGAGAAGAAACTCCCAACGTGATGTGTTCCTTAGCTTAATGCAGCCATAGGCTCTGTTGTATGTTAGCTGTGTGTGGACGTATTTCAGATTGTATGTCTCTTAGTGATTCAACCACATTATTCACTTTGTTTTAAAATATTACATTTCCTGTTTTCAAGCACTAATCTTATTTGGCCACTGGAACCATCAGAACATTTTATTTCATTAAATGAGAATGTACAATTACTTGTTATATGGAAAACCATTTTTTTACCAAGATTCATCCAGATAAATGTTATTATTTAAATTAGCTAACAATCAAGACAGGGTGATGCAAGCATTTCAAATAGATGTCAGCTTTGAAATTCAGCTGCCACATTATTTTTTAGAGAGTTAGAGGAATTGAAAAGTTCAAGGTTATTCTGTATTAAGAATTTCCAGTTGCAGTTAATTGGTTCTTGTGATTTATGAAGTGTAGAAGTGGGAGGAGAGAAGGGAGGAGAGAAGGTGGATTCTGTGTAACGCTCGAAAAAACTTTCACTTGGGAAATTGCTTTTGACATGCCAGATCTGTTTCTAATAAATCAATTGGAGAGATAACATCGGAGTGATTGATATCATGATACTTTCTGGATGCCTTACAATAGACCCTGGTGCACTTGAGATCTTTTTCTGAAGTTAACACAAAAGTTAAGCAGTAAAAAAAAAAAAGATGTACTATTTGTGGTGACAAATTTGAGGAGAAGAAATGCTAATAACAGGAGACATTAACTACCTGGACATATGTTGGAAAAACATTTAAGGCAAAACTGCAACGTTTCCAAAATTCTTCTATAGTCTTTCTGACTGCTTCATTGTCAAGAAAGTTGAAGAAGAAACAAGAGAATTGATGATCCTAATGAACAGGGAAGAGTGTTGAAGTAGGGAATAGCTAATTGAAGATGTATAATCAAGGAGAATCTTGGAAAGAATGTTGGTATCACCTTGGAGTCCAAGTGTTCCAGAAACAGATTGGAGCATAATGATAAATGCACACTGCAAAGTTAATTTCAACAAACTGAGAGAAACGCTAAGTCTGATTGAATTGACAGAAATTCTTAGGTCAAAGGAAGTACAGGAAGGCTGGCACTGGAAATATAATAACACATCATTCCATTGAGGGGAAAAACAGGCAGCTTAGAAAACTGTTGTGGGTGCATGGGTAATTGAGAAAACAGAAAGTGGGTTGTAATTTCCAAGGAGTATCAGAAAGTAGTTAATATTTGCAGAAAGAAATAAAGTTTAAATTGCAAAAGTAAACTTCAATTCGCAAGGGAAGCTGAAAGCAGTAAAAAGAGCTTTTTTGACTATTCTACCATTTTCTCTGGGCAGTGGACCATCTCAATGTGAAAAAAAAAGAGGCTGACTCAGTGTAATTCTGTTGTGTTAAAATAGAAATATCAGGATGACTACTAACCTGTAATTCCTCAGGTCCTCCTTTTTCCTTTTTGGAAAATACCAGCATTTACCATCCTCCAGTTTTCTAACGATGTGCCTGGAGGACAGGCACATCATTAGAGAACTGGCGAATGGTAAATGTTGATATTTTCCGAAAAGGAAAAAGGAGGACCTGAGAAATTACAGGTTAGTAGTCATCCTGATATTGAAACTGGAAAAATTCTGGAATAGGTTAATAAGCATTTTGTGAGTGTTTAGGAAAGAATGAAGTGCTTGAAAAGCTAGCAGAGGCCTATCAAGAATTATGAGGTTCAAAAAACTGATATATATATTTTTTTACTAACCATTTAGTTGATCATGGGGATATGTTGCATGTAATGTATCTTGACTTCAGCAAACATTCAACCAAGTCTCCCATGAAATTCTAGTAGAGAAGACAGCAAAATGAGGGCTACACTATGTTGCCATTAGTAGATTACAGGTTGAATAATTGTACTGAACAATTCCATATTTGTGGATTGCTATTAAATTGAAAAGTAATGTCAAAGTGGTAAACTGCAGGACTCAATTCTGTTCAATATATTTGAGAACCACTTTGGTCTAATGGTGAAGGCACCAAACTAGAAAGCAGGAGACCATGAGTTAAAGTCCTGCCATATCCATGAAAGCTAGCTCGGTGACCTTGGGCCAGTCCCTATCTCTCTGCTCAACTCACCTCACATGGTAGTTGTGGGGAAAATAGGGAGAGGAAGATGCGTTGGATATATTCTCTGCTTTGAGTAAATTTGTAAAAAAATAAAAGTGGGATACAAATACATTAATAAATATTAATAAATATTTATAAATGACATGGATGACAAGTTGCAAAATGATACAAATATAGAAGGGATACCTTAGGGTTAGGGTCACAAGATCTTTGACAGGCAGGAAGACTGAGGAGAAACCAGTAAAATGAATTTCAACAAGGAAAATTAAAATTGAAGGCACAAGTATAGGATAGAGGGACTATATTGGACAGCAGTATGGCAAAAAGAAACTGATAATTGTTAATACAGTCCTTGACTGCATCAGCAGAAGTAGCATCAAAATCAAGAGAAATCATTGTTCATTCTCTGATAGTTAAACAGCATCTAAATTCCTGCATCCAGTTCAGGTCACTGCATTTCAGAAAAGAAATGGGCAAACAACAGAGAGAACAGAGGTGATTGAAGACCTGGAAGTAAGGAACAATTGGAGGCACTGGTACATTGAGCTGGCAGAAGAGAAAACTGCTGGAAGACATATCTTGAACTATTTAAAGGGTTGTCATTTTGTGGGGAAGAGAGTGCAGATTCTGAAATAATAGATTTAAATGGCAAGATTGGACAGCGGGAAGAATTTTCTAATGTTCAACAATGAAAGCGACTGATGGGCTTACTTTACTGGAGGTCTTTGAACAAAAGCTGCATAACCATTTGGTAGATTCTTGAATTGGAGGTTTGGACTTCGGCAAATGATTTTCAAGATCTCTTCCAAATCTTACGTTCTCTGATTCCATGATGTGCTTCATGAGCACTGAGAACTAAATAAATTAATACTGAATATAAAAATAAACAAGCTTATGAAACTTCAGGACAGGATAAATGGGAATTATTTTCCTCCTATTTGCCAGCATCTCATTAAAATACTGTGTAAAGGCCATAATGTAATAGATAAACATGTAGCATGATTTGGTGGATATTTTGCCCCAATTCTTTTCTTAGAAAATGTTAACAAGTCAACCATTTGCTAGGTATTGTGACCTCTGAATGTTATTTTATATAGAATCAGCTCACATATATCTATTGTTCCAGATCTTAAGTTGATAACATTTATTATCTTGTGATTTACGTGAAGACTGAGGAGAGTCTGCCTTGTGTGATCTAGAACTCTATTTCCTTTTGTTGTACCAGATGGCCTTCATACTGCTTATTCATTGCTACCCCCAGTGTTTTGCAAATAAAGAGCTTTGAGTCCACTTGTCCTGGTGTAATGCGAATGGGATGACACCATGCAAGTGAAAAGGCAACAAAACCTGAGTGCACTAACAGGCAGCGGCTGGTGCTGCAGTAAAAGGCTGAGGTTGGCAGTGGAGGCTGCAAGTGGGTCGGCTCTTACCTGACCACCTGCAAAAATGACAGGGGTGGAGGCAGGCTTTGGGCGATAGGGGATGGTGGCACCTTTCGGTGGGGACTAGGAAAAGGGACAAGGAGAGGGAGAGAGAACATTAGACCACGTTTCCTAAAACAACAGCAAAAAGAGTGTTAGAGGGCAACCAAACATGTACAAATCAAACCATACTGAATATGAACTGATAAAGTTAACTCTGCAAGGTTTTGTTACCAGACCAGAAACTAAAGACAGAATCATTTAGTGGACCATTGATCGTGGCCAGGGATTCACTTGCCTTGGGACTGCTGGGCACAAGTTATAGGCTCTCCTTTCCATCGATGATCTGCTTAAGACAGCCGCAGAGGGATTGTGGGTTTGCAAGGTTTCCAGCCCTCTGAAGACCACTTCCAAGAGCTTTCTCTGAGCCTTTAGACAAAATTATGTCTTCTATTTTTTCTGCTTGCCACGAAGCTGCCCCTTTTCATTTTAGTATTTTTGGACAATCACAAGCTACATTTTAAAAACTATTGCAAATAGTTTAGTAATGTAGCTCACTCACCCACTTCGTTTTTTCCAAAGAGCCACCAATCTGCTATGAACTGTTTAGCCAAAAGGCATGAATATGGCTTCCTGAGACTTTCAAAAATTATTACCCAATTCTAATTTTTAAATAAAGGGAGAAGAAAATTACTAAATATATGATTGGAAAGTAACTAAAGTAAGTGTATTTAATGACATTTAACTAAAAATAAAATCAAATTAAGTTTTAATGCTGGCTTTATTTACTATTTTGGGGGGGCACTGCTGCCCTTAGCTACTACCCAGAAGCCAAATATGGGCCAAGAAAGAAGTGCACATCCCTGTGCTAAAGTTACTTATTGTTGGATTAACATTTGCTCCTCCACCTGGCAGTCAAATCTAATTGTGTGAACCTTATTTTTATTCTCATGTACTGCCTATCAATCTGAATAATTTTTACTTTCTTTCAAAACTTGCATAAGCAATGGTTATAGTTTAATTTTTCAATTCCTCCCTAATATTCAGAATCAATGTGGCTTCTGATGCTGCAATAAAGGAAGCACTGCAAGTCACAATATTTGGATATTCTAAGAAGACATGTCTAGGGCTGTAGCAGGAACAGAAAATAATACCAAGTGTAGCAACCGTTAATTTCACCAGTGAAGTTCAAGACAGTGAAATTCATGAAGGAAAATGTAAATCAGAATTCTGGAAATAATGAATCTTGGCCTGGAGCCAATGGAGCATAATGAAGTCATACATAGAAAGGTTATTTAAGTACATGAAAAAATTAACATGCTGGAGCTAGGTCTAGGTACTATCTTAGCTGAAATATTCAATGAAATGTTACCTTGAAAATCTACAATAAAAAAAGATAAAGCACTTGCTTTTTTGGATACATTCAGAAAGCCCCTTTTTTATTTCAGTGAGGTTTAAGCACCCTGCTCTTATTGTAGCCAGAATTGCTCATTAACTTCAGTGACCAGGAATCTGCTCTTGCACGGATTTCTTCAACATTTTTTCATAACCATGAATCCACCTCCAACCCCCACCTAATCCAATATTATCAACGCCCATTCTTGTTTCTAGATTTTCATTCGCTATCATATACTTTCTAGTAGCAATTCCAAAGCACATCACCTAACAGGTATTCATCTTTTGTTTTATTTTTGGATAAAAGTGCTCTAAAATCAAGAGATTTTTCATTTGAAAGCACAGGATGGAGACGAATAGAAACTATGTGCTGGTCTTATACTAGAAATATCCTTGACAATTGAAGAATACAAATAACACCAGAAAGTTAATGAATTAGAAAAATAGAAGTGATATTAGGTCGCTCCTTTCATTCCTGTTTCTTTGGATTTCTGAAGAATGTAATAGTTTCATATTAAATATGCAAAACTGCATCTTTTATAATTAAAGTATAGTTAATGACAATAAAAACCAAATGGGCTAGTAGGTATTGTAAGCCTCTATACTCTGTCACCCTAAACTATTATTTTACCCAAAATCTTCATAGAGTTACTTTCTCATGTAGCCACCCAAAGCTGTTTTGAACCCCAGATTGGTTGAATGCTTGAGTAGGCAAGGACTAATAACAATCCATTTTCAGTTATTTACTTATGTTCCTGTATACTTTACCCCTATTGTTACAGATTGTACCTCCAGCATCACCACACAGATCTGTTTGACACACTGGATAATTGCATCGGGAGTCCCTGAAATGGTCACTGCCCTTTCTGTAGAGTTGGGCAGCATATCCCCTGCCACCTGAACCTGAGCACCTGTGGACTGAAGAAAGGAAACAGCTTATTTTTTCGGCACAGGCACTTAAACATCTGGTATAATCACTTTTTGCTCTCTTTTCATACATATAAATGTGTGTGTGTGTGTGTGTGTAAAGCCATAAGAACCAACTTTCTCTGGGAAATAAGCAAAACTAAAACAAATGGTAAATAAAGAATGGACAAACAGTGATGTTGCAAATAGGTCAGAGTAGGAACAGCACATGAGTAAAAGAAAAAATAAAACCCAGTGAAAAGTTTGGCATTAAAAAGATATGAATATAGGCCTCAAGTGAGCCTCTTTCAAGATGGCATTCAACAAGCCCACCATCCCTCATTGTTTCAGTGACCTAGGCATGGAGGCAGCTCAATGAAAGCCTTGGGTAATGAATTGAGACGGACGAATACTATTCTACTTCAGTACCCTGGCCCAATGCTCTTTGGTTGGCTTTAGAGATGAAACCATCCAGGCAGGGGTGGGATGCAATTATTTTTACTACTGGCTCAGTGGAAGTGGCTAGGTGGTGTGGCCATGTGACTAGGTGGGTGTGGCTTCTCTTTTTTTGTGCAGCACCCCACCCCCACCCCCATTTTTTTGCATCCTGGGCCTCAGGGAAGCCTCCTTTTGTCCAGGTTTTAATTGTATATTATCTGGGATGAGTCGCCATGTTGAATAGGCGGCAATACAAATCTAATAAATAAATAAATAAGAAATAATTAAAAATCATTCTGCTAACATGGGCTAGCCATACCATTAGGCAGAGTGAGGCAACTGCCTCATGCAGCCATTTTAGACAACTGGCCATCACTGCTCCTGCTCTCTGGAATAGCATCCCCCCGAGAGACAAATAGCACCCCCTCTCTTGTGGTTATGGAAGTGTGTTCTGGCTGTGTTCCCAGGCCTGGGGTTAATGTGTTTGTGTTTTCTTGTTATTATTATGGCTGGTTTTAATCCAGACCTTCCACTTTGTTTTATATTTGTCATTGTTTTAACTATCCATTTAGATTCACCCAAATTTTACTAGAATGGATGGCCATAACAAATTTAGATAAATAAATAAATAAAAATTACTAGTATTTTATACTAGTGTAGAGCCTCAGTGGCACAGTGGTTAGAGTGCTGTACTGCAGGCCACTTCTGCTGACTATCGGCTGCCTGAAATTTGGCAGTTCAAATCCCACCAGGCTTCCATCCTTCTGAGGTGGGTAAAATGAGGACCCAGAGTGTTGCGGGCAATATGCTGACTCTGTAAACCTCTTAGAGAGGGCTGTAAAGCACTATAAAGAGGTATATAAGTCTAAGTGCTATTGTTATTGTATTTTTGCTGGTTGCACAACAGTGTTATATAAAACAGAATGGAGCAGGTAGAGGGCAATTATTCCTAGAGAATGTCCAACTAAATTATTTACTTCTTTTAACGTATAAGTAATATATTTATAATTGGACTTTAGCCATTAATATTAACACCATTTCAACATAGTAGAGATGAAAATAAAGAGATTGTGGCCAAATGAAATTTTCTTTAAGTGGAAACTCTTGCCTGAGAACATGAAGGTTCTCAATATGATTCCTGCTTCACTTTATGACAATTGACTTCATGAAGATTAATGAATTAGAGAGGTTTAAAGACAGCCCTTTCTTTTATTTCTCATAGAAAATGACTTTCTCTGCACATAGGAAAATCAGAGACTTACCTCCCTGATTTCTTTAATCTTGGAGCCTCCTTTGCCTATTAATGATCCACACTGGCTTGCTGGTACAACCAACCTTAATGTAACTGGTGGCTTACTTGTAGCTGTGCTGTTACTCATTGAGTTGATTATATCCTTTAGGAAGGAAGGAAGGAAAGGAGAGAAGAAGTTTGAATTTTACTTTATTAAATAAGCCAAGCATCTTTATCACATTGTAGAACTGTGAATGAGCAAATGGGAAAATAGAATTGGTTTTATTTTGCCTAAGTTGTTAAAACCAGCAGATCTGTCAAATTTAGGAAATTTGTATCTTATATTTTACATAGTTCCTCATCTTTACCACTACTTTTAGGGGTGGGATTCTACTGGTTCGGCCAAACCCCTTTCTCCAATGATTAGCTGTCTCTGAACCAGTTCGCTGCGACGAGCATGTGGGATCACAAAGTGCGCTATCACCGAACTGGTTGCTATACTGGTGGAATCCCACTCCTGACTATTACACATTTAGGACAATATCAAAGGAACAGGATATGAACAAACACATTTTCTGTTAATGTTCCTAATACATTAAAGAGAGTGATGGCTCAGCAGTTAAAGACACTGACTTTGTCAGCTGGAAAGCTGACAGCCTGGGTTGAAGAGCCCCAGCTCCTGCCCACCTACCCATTCGAAAATATGCAAATGCAAGTAGACAAATAGGTACCATTTTGATGGGAAGGTAACAGAATTCCATGTGCTCTGGCCTATAGTCATGCTGGCCACATGACCACAGAAATGTCTTTGGACAACACTGGCTCCCATGGCTAAGAAAAGGAGATGAGTATTACCCCTTAGAGTTGGACACGAATGGACAGGGGGGAACCTTTACCTTTATCCTAAAGTTATTTTGCATTGCTAAATCTCCTGGGAAAAAAAAGGCTGAATAATTCAGTGAATAAATGTTTTTCAGTCTGATATACCCATATCACAAAACTTTCTCTGGTAGGGGTATTTATAAGAACCCATGCTTAATTCCAAACAGATCCCAAATGAAACCATAATGAAGTGAAAGGCCTGGTGGATATGTACCAATTGTCATTATTCCCGTAACATTTTTAAAAAAAGCATTTTGAGGAGTTTTTACCAAGAAAGTGTCAGTAGAAAATAAACATTTCAATAGATGTTTATTACCTCTTCAAATTTATAAGCAATCATTGCAAACGCTTTGAAGATGGCATCAGTAGGGCCTGTAATGGTCACAATCCTTTCTGGACAGTTTCCTTCTGAGATATTGATTCGTGCTCCACTCTATAATTGAGAAACCACATCTTGTCATACATATAGGGGACGTTGAAAATATAGTGTACTCAGACTTCAGTAAGATATTTGATAAAGTAGACATAGATGTTTTGGAAAAATGTGGGCTAGATGGTCCCATTATTAAATGGATTCATAGTTAAATGAAAATCCATAGCCAAAGGGCTATGGTTAGGTTAATGGGTCTTTGTCCAGATAGAGGGTGGTATGTAATGGGGCACCTCAGGTTCTGTCCTGGGCCTGTATTATTCAACACTTGATAAATGACTTGGATAAAGGAATAGAAGGGATGCTCATAAAATTTGCAGATCACACAAAGCTAGGAGGGAAGATAGCTAATATCTCTGAAGTCAGGCTCAAAATTCAAAAAGATTTTGATACACATGAACATTCTGCCCTATCCGTCAAAATGTTGTTTGATGTTGAGAAATATAAGGTTCTGCACTTAGACTAAGATACATACACAAGTACAACTTAGGTGATAAGGTCTAACAATAATATTTGCCAGAAAGATCTGGGGATCTTGGAAGACCACAGAGAAAGAGTGAGCCAGCAATGTGCTGCAGACACCAAAAATGCCAATGCAGTTTTGAGCTGCATTGGTATGTCTATAATGTCAAGATGATAAAAAGTGATAGTATTGCTCTACGCTGCACTGCTTCATGCCTGTAAAGCTGTATCCAATTCTGGTGGCCACAATACAAAAAGAATGTTGAGGAACTGGAAATAGTGCAGAGAAGAACAAAGATGGTTGAGGGGCTTGGAGATTAAATCCCATGAAGAATGTCTCCAGGTCATGGTTGTCCCAAAGGTGCTTTTTTTCAAGAGGCAACTGGATTTTCTGGATGTTTTCTTTGAAGACATTTCACTTCTCATCCAAGAAGCTTCTTCAGCTCTGACTGGATAGTGGGGAATGGAAGGATTTATACTCCTTGCAGACAGCTAGTCATTTGCATTCTTTTAACAGGTTGTTAAGGTCACCCGGAGGTTCATCTGTGTCATCAGGGTCAGCTGAGTGGTGCAATTGGGTGTGGAGCCTTCTTGGAACTGTTGAAAGGACTGTGTTGTAGATTGGAGGTAGATGACATTGTATCCCTTCCCCTCTGTTGAGAGAGGTCTGTTCATTTTTGACATAAATGGCCTCTTTAACCCCTCTTTCAAACCAGCAATCTTCCCTGTCCAAAATATGGACTTTGTTGTCTTCAAAGGAATGGCCTGTGTCTTTAATTGGACCATATGACTGACAGTTTGGGGAAAGGGAGAAACGTTTACTTTTAATTAGATGAAAACTGCGGGAATATCCAGAATTGATTTTTACCACCTTATGCCAATATAATATATCCAATAAATCAGTTCTTTGAGGAACCTACTTGCCTTGGAGCTCTGTTTATTATGGATGTATTACTTGGAACCCTGACAGATGGGAGAGAAAAAGAACATAAACACATCAAGGAAGCCCTCATAATGTGTGTTTATCCCAAGTGGACCTTCATCAAATCTCAAAAAAGACCTTACAGGGGCTCCTCTGTAACAGACTATGATGAGACCAATAAAAGAAGCAATGTTGTCATTCCGTACATTGCAGACATATCAGAAAACTCAGGAGGACCTTCAGCCAACATAAGATACACACATAGTTCAGACCCAAAAGGCAGAAGCAGAAGCTTGTCCATCCCAAGGATAAAACACCCAGACAGAAACTGAGCAACATGGTATATGCAGTGAGCCATGTGAAGATTCGTACATTGGGGAAATGAAACAACCACTTCATCAATGCGTGGGACAACATAAAAGAACAAACACATTAGATTCCGCAGTCCATCTGCATTTAAAGACAGCATGGGAGGGATATGACAGCCTTTTCAACAGTTCCAAGAAGGCTCCACACCCAATTGCACCACTCAGCTGACCCTGATGACACAGTTGAACCTCCAGGTGACCTTAACAACCTGCTAAAAGAATGCAAATGACTAGCTGTCTGCAAGGAGTATAAATCCTTCCATTCCCCACCATTCAGTCAGAGCTGAAGAAGCTTCTTGGATGAGAAGCAAAATGTCTTCAAAGAAAAACTAGAAACTCCAGTTTGGGACAACCATGAAGAATGATTAAAGTGATCCTATAAAGAGTGCTCTATATTTAGCTTAAAGAAGAGAAAACTAGGGGGAAACACGATAGCAGGGGAAACATGATAGCAGTATTCTGATACATAAAAGGATGTCACAGGGAAGAGGGAATACAGTAGATCTATTCTCGCTGGCATCTGAGGATAAGGTAAGAATCAGTAGGTAGAAATGTTACAATGCGAGATCCAAAGCTGTACAAAGACAAAATTTCCTGACTATGAATCTAATAAGAAATGGAACAGTCTATCTCCTGAAGTTGTAGATGCTCTGGAGGAAAACTGGAGGTTTTCAAGAAAAAAAAAAACTGGACAGCCATTTGTCCAAAATGGCATGAGGAATCATAGAATCATAGGGCTGGAAGAGACCTTGGTGCTCTTCTAGGCCAACTTCCTTCCCAAGGCAGGACGAATGGTTGTCCAATCTTTTTTTGAAAACCTCCAGTGATGGAAGCCCACAACTACAGGAAGCAAGCTGTTTCAATGATTGATCATTCTCACTTTCAGGAAGTTCCTCCTTATTTCCAGTTTGAATCATTTTCTGACAAACTTCCACCCATTGCTTCTTGTCCTGTCCTAGCAGTTGGGGAGAATAAATTAATACCTTCTTTCCTGTGATAGCCCTTCAAGTATTGGAAGACTGCTATCATATCTCCCTTGAGCCTTGTCTTCGTTAGGTTAAACATTCCTAGTTCCCTTAGTTGTTTGTTGTATAATTTAACCTCCACCGAACTCTTATCATCTTTGTTGCTCTTCTCTGCAGTTTTTCTAAGAGCTCAGCATCTTTTTTTGTATTGCGGTGAACAGAACTGGATGCTGTATTCAAAGTGTTATCTTACCTGTGCAGCATCAAATGGTACTTTCACTTCTTGTGACTATCCCTCTGTTGATGTTGCCTAGAACTGCATTGGCTTTTTGGCAGCTGCAGCACACTGCTGGCTCATACTTAAGCGATGAGCAACTAGGGCACCTAGATTCTTCTCACAGTTACTACGTCCCATTCTATACCTGTCCATTTGATTTTTAGGATCTGGTTTTAAGATTTTAAGAAAATCTATACCTATGCATTTGGTTTTAAGATCCTCTACTGGGCAGGTGGTTGGCCTAGAAGACCTTTTATATACAGCAGATTCTTAGAAAATGTATAGATTTCATATTTTATATTGGTTGTGGATTATCAGTTATTTTTATATGGGAATGTTTAGAATGGCGTTTAGAACAAACCAGACACTCAAAATATATGATAACTATAATCAAACATAAACCACACAGGTTCTAACTCAAGTTGCAGTCAAACAACAATGTATAATTAGTATTGGATTACAACTTCTTTTGACCTATGAAAATAACTCTGTTCAGGCATTTAGAAATTCAGAATAGCTTGGGCGGGTTTAACAAGCTTCTTGATATCTATGTAGGAAAAATTACAGAGCAGGATCCAGGTTTTCTCTGATGGTTCAAAATGGTCATCTGTACTTTTGCCATAGGGAAGCTAATCTGCTTTCAACACTAAAAAGTGTGACTGCATGAAGAAAAACAAACCAACCCATTGGTCAACAAATTTCAAGCCTTCTCAAGGTAATGATGCTCACCTCCTCACGCATCTTTTTTACTGTTTCTCCTTTCTGTAACAAGAAGAAGAAAAGAAACAGTTGTTAGAACAAACTGACTAAAATATCATTACTCTTCTTGCAACACAGAATATACAGATTGTTACTTTTTGTATGGTATCTGTGTAATACTGATAACCACTGCCAATCAATAAAGTTGTATTATGGAAGCAAGGTAGAGCATTGAGAAATTAGAGTGAATTTGAAAATCTTGGAACTCATAATACTGAATATGCACAATTTATAATCAATTATGAAATATGATTTGGAATCTGAACAATTCAAGATTGGTATGATTAAAGGAATGTAAAACTTGTATACAATTATAGAAATAGAATAGTGGGCATTTAGATGAAAATGGAACTTTTCACCCTGAACTTCATTTTTAGAGAGAATTAATTTAAAATATTTTAATGACTGATTTTATCATTATAGCCATGATTGGTAAAATGAGTATCTTTTTTTCTCCAAAATGCTGGAAATGCAATGAACAATTTGGTGTTTTTTTCCCATTCACAGTAGCAATGTTGCAAAGGTCAAGAACATTGGAAATTAATTCATTGTAGAATGGAACAAATCTTTAAAGTCATAATTCTGTTTCATGAAAAAAATTTAAGACTTCACCAAACCACACTTTCCTTCAAAATACATAGAATTGGCATTATACATGGTAATGGTTGCATTATATGCTTTTAATTGGAAAATAAATCTCCAATTCCTCTGTGGAAGAATTAAATTGTGGGAATATTCTTTGACATTTTGAAAAATTTTATATCTAAAAAGTAAACCTTATGTACATTTCAATCGTATTTGAAAACTATTTCTAGAATACAATTCTGTAAATGGAATTGTCTCACAAAAGTTTAGAGTTATTATTTCAGTTTGATATACAGTGTACAGATTATTTACAGTATTCTTTCAATGTATTTCTTTTCTATTATTGATTTAACTTGTGTTAAACAAATACTTTTACAATTCAAAAGAGACATATTTTGATTAGAAATTGAGTACGAAATATCTTCGAGTACGCTTAAGTTGTTAATTGTGTATTGCAGTATATTAGCCAAATGATATTTTAGATTTCCTGGTTATTCTAGAATTTTTGATTATCAGCCATCCATATTTTACTGCTTATATTGTCATTTTTTATTACTATATTTTCTATAGTTTTTGTATATTATTCAGTTAGTGATGATTGGAGCCATACAAAGTAGGTTTTAGTTCAGAGAAAAATAAGCATCAATTTTATCTGATTTATTGTGGACCCAGATGCTTTTGCTTTAATGTGGAAATATGTATATAAAATTTTCCTGAAATAACAACCTTTAGTAAAATCTCTCTCTTTCTCTTTCTCTTTCTCTTTCTCTTTCTCCAACTATATGGTCTCCTTTGGTGTATTAGTAATAAATCAGTGTATGAATATTTGAAGGCCATTTCATTGTTAAGATAAATAAATATATAATTCTTATTTGCCTGATAGCTTCATAATGACTATTTATATGTTTTTTGTTTGACAGTAACAGGATATTAGCTTTATTAGATTAGCTCCATCTCAGAATTCCATTACATTTGATGTGAAATAGAAAGATTTTTATTTTCAATGAAAATAAATATTGATTATATTTTGTTCAGGGATCCTTCAGATTGATAGAAACAAAATCTGACTTATATCAAAGGAAATTGACCAACAGAAGTATTTTCATACATTGGTTAATTGGTGTGAATATTTAACTGGTGTAAATATTATATTCGATTGAGTCTGATTCCATGGACATAGCTATTTAGTTTTCTTGGAGAGTGAGTTGTTTGATATTAGGAAACTTATTTCCTCAAAACACTTTCAAATCAATTTCCTATATGCAATTATTCACATTGTTCCAGGCTTTTCTCCAATTATTGACCCTTTGTTTATTATAGATATGTTCTCAGAATTTCATAAACTCCTATTGAATATCTGCATTTTCCTCCCACATCCCATCTAAGTGAATGCAGATGTTGCTTGATCAGTCTCTGCTGCCTTCTGCTTTTAATAAGAAACCAGATTGGCAAATAGCTCAGTGGAGAAAGCAGTTTACATTTAGGGAAAAGGGAGATGGCTGGGTGCATAGGCTTCTATTTTACCAATTATGACTCTCATGCTCTAATTATATACGGCTCTTATTCTCTCAAGAACTAGCTAGGAAAGAAGACAGAGAGAAAACAAAATCTTGAGCCCCTTGCTGGTCACCTCCCACATAGCTCTACCCACAAAGAACATGTATGAGCATTCAAATGTAGAGGATATCACATTACCTTCCCAATGATGCTTCCAACTTCCTGTTGGAAAGAAAATGGCAACAAAGTAAGAAAGTAAAAGCTTTAATTATCAGTAAATCTTATTTATTTTGCTCATTGTGTTTATTAATTTCTAATCACAATTGCATAAGTGTCAAATAAATAATTTCTTTATTAGCAAGAATATAAAACAATGAAGAAAAGAGCCATGGAGTTCCAAAGATTTTAGGACAGCAGATGTTCCCCTGCCCTGATAGCCTCTCTTGGACTTCTAGTTCTTGCTGTTGTGACTGTATAGCCATATTTGTAATTAATTGAAAAGTTATTACTGTATATTAATGTTGTCTAGGTAAAACCTAAAATGAAAAATGCATTGGATACTAAAGGAGAATCTCTGCCATCCTTTGATATCAATTAACAAAGATATATGTTAGTTACTTAAATCACTAGAGGGTTTTTTTTCCTTTCATGAGACATTCCCTCTCCACCTCTACTACAACTAGGTTTACATATTTGTACCTTGTTAGGAGATAAGAAAAAGAAGAATTTTACCATGTAGCTTTCTCCCTCCCCATTCAAGCCAAACATTAAAAAAACATTGAATAGCCATGCCAAAATAACTACCCTAACCACAACCTTGTCCAAAATTTATCAAGCTGGGTCCCATATTTACAGCAAAATATAATGCATGAACAGGTTTGTGGTAAACAGGAATGTTAGTGAACCCACTGTATCACAATTTGGCAATCTGAGGTTCATGGACACTTAGTTTAGTTCTCCTAACGTATGGCATTAGCATCAAGTCTCATTTCCCCTGAGCTTCCTATTTAATAGAAAGGCTTATCTACATTGATGAATGATGATTAGAGCAGTATCGATACAAAATAACTCAGATGTGTTGGCTGTCTATCAAAAAGATACGTTGATGCTTTATCTCTTGCTTAATGTTACTGTATTCAGAAATCTTGCTTGTCTGCCTGGAGCAGGAAAAACAAAAGAACTTCCAGGAACAAAGTAGTGGTGCTATTCCTTTTGTCTAGTGTCTTTATGCACAACTGGAGAGAGGTGGCTGCATATCTCCATCTCCTGTACTTGGAGAAATTCCTGCAAGAAGTATCAAACTCATGCTTGCTTTTTCAAATAATTGCTTCATTATTTTTTTAACTCATGGCAGTGATTCTGGGTAGCGTACAGTGCCTAACCCAAACAATCCAGAACAACAATTTCTTTGCCAACCAGAACCACTTATTTGGGGTAGGCAGCCATAGAAATTGAATAAATTAATAAACAAATCCAATTAAAAATGTTTGAGATTCCACAAATCATGGCATTTACAGGGAAAAAACCCAATTTAAACAATTGGCTGGCAGAATTTGCTCAGCCTCCCAGTCCAAATGCAGTGAAGAAGAACCAGATCTTTAAAGCCTTACACAAGGCTAAATGAAATTACCCTTGAAATTTAGGACTTCAAAGACAGGGACATCAGTTTATACTCAGGGAAATAGTCTTTGTAACATTTGAGAACAAGAGGTTTTGAGAAAACAAGAGAGAATATAAACATTCATAATCAATTTGTTGCACTTATATATGATCTAGCCAACATTTTTGTAAGCAGTTAGCGCTAACTGTTTGTACTTGATTTATTACTTATTTCATCTTATTTCACTACTGTATTACTGATTTTAGTACAAATAGTATTCAAACACTATAATGCTTCTCCTCACTTTCTGTGTCCAAAGTGGATATAATCTGGACATCATCACTGGTGAAGACTACTAATAATTTGTCCCAAATGACAGTTATTATAAACCTATGCACATTATAAGGAATACTGATATGAGTAGATAGTTACGTGAGCCAAACAGTATAGTATAAAAATTAAGAATTTCACCTGCAGAAATCTAAATCAGTCAAGAATAAAGGAAAATGTTACCTGAAACATCAAATTGGGATCAATCCAATTTACATTCTGTGCATTTCCCATAAGATACAATTTGAGGGTTCTAGAACCATATCTGTAATATTTGCTTCCCAATAAAAGGATGTTCCATTTAGGAATCATGCATTACATGTGTTTTTCAGGGAATAAAAGTATGGCATACATGCACAGTTTTTGGATTTAGATATAAACAAAGTCAGCCTTCATTACTATGCTTGAATTAGAAGTGATGACATGAAAACACTTCAGTACTGCTCACCTTTCCATGCATCAATAATCTGATGGTGAGAGTCACATTCAGACCTCCTTCAGAGACTTTAGATTCCATATTTTGTCTTGGAATATTGTGATGGTGTTGATAGTTTGGAGACTCAAAGAAATAAAGATGTATCCACACAGGAGATCACCTGCTAGTGAAAAAACAGAAGCTCCTTTTGTAGGATAAACAAATAAATAAAATAAATATTTATTGCCACTCAGCACATTAGCTGCAGCTTCAGATCTAAGGATGAGGATAAATTTTTATTCAGCAATCTCAATAAAATGTTGTCAGTATGTGAACCTCACTTAGGCTCTCTTTATTCAGTGTATCAATAAACCCTCCTCGCCATAAAGGCCACTTGGGCCTTCCATTTTTGATACATACATACTACATATATACTATAGATCACCCGCCATCATTACTCAATTTCTCATACGTGAAAGCATTTTGTATTATGCAAGAGTTGTGATTCTAACTGTTCCTTGCCTCAGATGTTTTTAATTGCAATTTTTAAAAGATTTTTTAAAATCCACCTTGATTATTTTTATCAATAACTCATGTTGATGAACATATCTAATACTCCTTCCTCCTCTTGTTTTCCCTTCAACAATAACCCTGTGAGGTGGGTTGGGCTGAGAGAGAAGGAGAAATTGGCCCAAAGTCACTCACTTGCCTTTCAAGGCAGGACTAGAACTCCATCTTCTGTTTTCTAGTCTGCTCTCTTAACCACTAGGATTATCAGTCTTTGGTAGTGGAATTTATTTTGAAGAAAGACACCCCAATTCTGGGAAATGTCCACATGGACTATAGCAGCCCTTTTGTCTGTCTGGAAAATATAAAGGATGAAAATCAAGCTGTTATGTAAATATTTCCAATTGATTGAAAAAGTGGGTCATGTGTTAGCCAAATGCTCCCGGCTTTAAGATTTATCATTGCTATTAAATTATACACGCTTTATGCTTCAGCATGCAGGAGAGCTACATTAGCCTTTTTTCATTGTGCTGGTGAAATATAAGCATTTTTGTCAGAACATTAATGGACATAGGAGCTACATCGATACATATATAGATATAGATACATATATAGAAAATAGGTTGAAAGCCATTTTAGAAAGTGTTGGTTAGTTATTTACATTTTCTAGCTTATACAGAGATTTTATTCTTTGTATATTACATTATCATGTACTTAATTTTAAAGAAATCATGAAATGGATTATTAGACTTTTATTAGAAGAGCCTGAAGGTCTGACTACTGGATGCATATGCTGGGAAATACTGGGATAAGATTTATATAATCAAATGTAGTTTAGTTATTTTCCATCCCTCTTTAAATTATAGTCTTCTTAATTTCTGTTTGTTTATTTCAGTTAATTAGACCACTACAGAAAGTTCAAACACTGTCAAGAAAACAAGAGCAAGGAATATTCTAAATTCACACTTCTTGAATACATGTTTTGTATATAATTTGTATAGATATATTGACATCTATATTATACCTTTAAAATCCTACTAATAGAGATAATCCTAGGTTTACCACCAATCACCTAGCAAAATTAAGATGAATCTCCTCACAGCTATTTATGACTCAGTTTCAAAGTTCTACCACTAACACACACACACACGCCTCCGGGATATGTAATCTCATTTATGTGCCTGGCAACTGACCCACATTTATAGCAGTTTTCAGTGTCAGACAATCATGTGACCTCAATTTATGATTTTTTTTTCAAGAAACTGGCATTTACTTCTGATTTCTGGCAAAAATACCCATTGGCTGCCAGGGCTATACTGTGGCGTTTGCTTAACAACTGCTGTAAAAAAGGTCATAAAATTGAACAAAGTCATATGATGATCCACTTAATGACTGCCAAATTCCTAGTTCAATTACAGTTTGAAGTCAAAGATAACCTGTGCTGAAAAATTTGAACATGTACTAAACCAGTTAGCTGTTTATTAATGTAGACAACAGAACAAAACTTGGACATTCTACTTCAAAGGATGTTCTGATAAAAGATAAAGACATATACTTGTCCTGTCTAATATGTTTCGTTTATGGGGATAAAGTACATTTTTAATTAAGATGACATCATAGTTGGATATGTATCAGTCTTTTTCATCGCCTTCTGTGATATTTTTATATTTAATGGCAACTAAGGGAACTGAAAAAAACAGCAGAAAAAACAATTACTACCAACCTAATCAAGGACCTGTATACTGCATGAGTCAAAAAGAGGGCTGTGAAAATATTTACAGACCCCTCACATCCCGGACATAAACTGTTTCAACTCCTTCCCTCAAAACGATGCTATAGAGCACTGCACATCAGAACAACTAGACACAAGAACAGTTTTTCCTTGAACGCCATCAGTCTGCTAAACAAATAATTCCCTCAACACTGTTCAACTATTACAAAGTCTGCACTACTATTACTGCTAATCTTCTCATCACTCCTTATCACCCATCCCCTCCCACTTGTGACTGTAGGATTGTAACTTTGTTGCTTGTATCCTTACGATTTATATTGACTGTTTCCTAGTATGATTTGATTGCTTATTGTACCCTATGACTATTATTAAGTGTTGTACCTTATGATTCTCGACTCTTGATGAATGTATCTTTTCTTTTATGTATACTGAGAGTATTACACCAAGACAAATTCCTTATGTGTCCAATCATACTTGGCCAATAAAGTATTCTATTCTATGATGACTATTTTATATTTTGATTTTTTTCAGAAAGGGTCCGTAATTATAAATTAAATCAAACTGAATGTGGCTATGAAAAGGACATCTCAGCTGGAGCATCATGAGAAGTCAGTTAGTTTGTCTATAATTTTTACCTGATTAACTTTTACTTGAAATTCCCTGGAATTTTATTCTTCTGTGAGTAATTTATGTATAGTTGGAATTATGGCAGTAGAGGCAAAAGACCAACAGTGATACTTGAGGATACTTTAACAAAGAAACGATAGTCTTTACCTGAATATTATCATTAGATTTAATATATCTCATGAAGTTCTACATTCTCATTTTCATATTGGTAAGTTGTTTCAGGCATTCACTGAGAATTTCCTTGGGCTTTATTTGAGAAATGTCAGTTTACTTTCAGTAAAAAAAAGCCTGTTTGTGCTTTATTGCAATAAAAAAAATAAAAATATTCAAAAGAGTCACTCCTTAATATACCAAGGAAGTTCAAAATGTAGAAAGTGGTTTAAAATAGCATTGCTTGAGAAAACAATCTTCAGTAGCTCATTAAGGTTCCATCTATTTTTGTTCTGCATCTATCCAACAAAATATTTCATAATCAGGTGGAAGATGAACAATAATCTATCTCTTTCAGATTCTCTTGAGGAAACTAAGATTTTTTAAAAATCATGTTATTATGGCTTATTCTGCCATATTTGTATTCAGACTGCTGAACCTTTTTATATCTGGTTCCTAAATAAATAATTGCTTGTGGCAGCTGAATGCTTTTGGCCACATAAAAAGATTACTACAATTTCTATTGTAATAACACTTTATTTTCTTTCTCCCCATTTCTTCCCCATCCCTTTGCTCTCAACATACAGCCATAACTGAGAGGATCTTATGTTGCTAAGTGAGACAGTTGTTAAGTGAGCTGTGCCCAATTTCATGTACCAGTTACCAAGCACGCAAATTTTGATTCCATGACCAGGGGATGTTGCAAATCATATATGTGAGAACTTTTGTAAGTTACATTTTCAGCACCATCATAACTTTGAATGGTTGCTAAACAAATGCTTATAAATCAAGGACTTTCTGTATTGCTTTTGTTCTAAAGGTGCCCTCACTTGAGTTATAAATTTAAATATAAACTTTATAAATAAATATAAACTTTAATTAATTAATCAGAAATTTCTTTTTTCTTATTCTTCCCATTGATTCATGTAGTACGTACATTAATAATTATCCAAATATTATGCATAGGGAGCATTAAATATGTACTGCTGAATCTTTGACTGCTCATCAGAATGCTTAGATTTTATTTTTAACTATATTTAAGTTTTCTTATCCCATTATTCTCATTTGTTGGGGAAGGGGGGAACTGATATTTTGCTAAGAACATGAATGAATTTATTTTTCTTTCTTCTTGCTCATTTTTAAAAAAATTGATAATATTCAATGACAGCCACCTTTGTAACCTTGAAGTTTCAAACTATAGGTAGACAAGTACTGTGAAAAATATGAAGATCAATCAAAAATTAAATTGCTCTTTTTGCAAGAGACTCATAGTCTCCTTAACCTTTATCAAAAGCTCATGTGAGAATTTTGTATGAAAATGGTAACTATAAATATGCAAGAGCAGTTTCAGCTTTGATCAGAGGAAACTCTACATTGATCGTTAAAAAAGAAATATCAATTGTGGGAGTTTTTTTTTAATAATTGTCAAAATGGATGATCAACATCTACCTCTTCTGAATTTAAATTGCCTCAACAAATTTGCAATTGTTTTTCATATCTTCATATTGACAATATATATTAATGAGGTGAATTGAATCAGACATTAAATTCCTTTTCCTACAGCAACATGCCATGACCTGTATTCTATTCTCAGATTCATAATATAGATTATGTGTCTAGATTTAATGTAAAGGATATTTAATATTCTATTAATTTGTATGTTTCATTTTTTGATGGTGAACAGTTCTTCATTAATACTGATTGTTTGCGAGACTTTCCTTATTTAAAAAAATGTTATGAGGTACTAAATCATGTGTATATCAACCTTCAGGGAACAGGTTCTTAGGCAAACTGGGCAGCAGGGAGGATATTTGATAAGACTTTGCTGTGCAAATTAATATAACGATTAAATAACAAGGGGGCAAAATGTAGTTTGTGCTTCAATAATTGCTCATAATGATCTACTGGTCTTATACCATAGGGAAGAATTATCATATCCATTTTGGAAAAGCAGTCATTCAAATTTCTTCCAAAAGTTAAGACCTTCACAAGTGTTATCATTCAAATTAAAAAAAACTTTTGATTTATGCTTTTCAAAATGTTCCACATATGTTCACCACCAAATGAAACTCATGGCAGCATGCTA